GGATATGTAAAATAATGGCAAATGAATAACTGTGGAGAAAAATAGATAAAGTTCTTATTAGTCCTCGTCAGCTTGCTGGATGTAGCTCTTCACCGTAATCGGCTAGTCTCTGTGGAAGCTCCTAAACAGTTTTAGCCTCTGACATGGTCTTTCCTGAAAGTTCTTGAACAATTGCGTGTGCTTTAATTCCATATTTTTTAAAATTTTATCTTATATCACCCGTCCTCACATCTACTGCGCGGATTCCGTTACTTCTCATATCCAGTTCGTTTTCTCGCATCCATTGTCAGCGAAGATCGTCCAATTTTACGTGAGGCTTCGGTTGCTGCTTAAGGATTTTCGTTTCATTTTGGATGCCGTAGAATGCTAGCCGAGCAATTCTTTCTGAAGTCTAGGATAGCGGGGCTGGACCGTTCTCAATTGGATTGTAGAGAATGATTTCTTATCCAGACAAGTGTGGTACTAATTTGCCGACCCCGAAGGAATGAGATGTTTGGTTAGCAAGGAGCGTAATCGAACTAGCACCAGGCTCGTGATGACGGACATCACTTCCACTGTGCTATCCGCCCCCTAATTCCATCATTTCCATATTCTACATTAAAGTAATTCTATAATACCCTGCAATTAATCCTCGTCAATAATAGAAACTCGTAGTCGACCTAACTCTTTAAATTCTTTGGTAGAAACGCCGCACCGTGCCTTTATTAACACCTCATCAGCCTCATTCTTCATATTAACAGTTAGAGCCTTCTACACTTCAAAGTCAGAGCTCGGTGCAAGCAAGATTATAACGGATAGACAAATGTACGGTTGTTACAAATATGACAACGCCGAGAGCTTTATTTTAGCTGTATAATGCACGATGAACTGAATTACCTTGGAAATGGTTTTCCGTTATATCAATAACTAACAAACCCAGAAATACTACTGTGCAAAGTTCTCGAGGCATTTTTGATGGTTTCCCGAAATTCAACTATGAGCCGTAACTAGGAACGCCTTGTTATAACGTGTAACCTCATTCCATACTTCACGTTAATTTTTAAACTAAAGAAAGCATGGTCCTCCTCGACGTAAACTTGCTGCTGCTGGTCCTTATTACGAAACATACACATGAAAACTTTAAGTTTTTTAAGGTTTTTTAACATAAAGTTGTTTGCATTGCAATTAAACCTTTTCTCAAGTCACTTTGTTAGAATTAGAAATGCTGACTAAGCTGCTTCTTAAAGTGATCCTTTGTAGACTTTGAAGAAGACTATAACAGCTGAAAGACTAGCTATTGCGGAATAAATAAATAATTTAGATCAACTTGAATAATCAATTGACAACGACAAATAGGAGGATTTTGTTTCAAACCTGATTAGCAAAAGGATGTGGATTTAGCCACGTCATGGGCGTCATCATAAATAACACTATAACTTCAAGCTGGTGAAAAAGGTTAAAATTGTAGGGTAAGCGCAAATGATCACTTCAGTAAGCTAATCACTATTGTGAAAGCTCTTATTAATAACTGCATCTACTTGGGAAAATTGTGTAAACTTAGGTAGTGATATCAAATGGACAGTCTGATGTCAACAAGCCGACCTGACTAACCACCTGGTAGTCTTAACTTACTAAGGATTACAGCATCACTCCATCAGCAGCTCATTGGGAAGAGCAACAATTTAGCGGAAGCTTTTCTGCGTCAGCTTTTTTAATTAATAAAATAATTCATTCTGTCACCTAGTTCGAGAAAACGTACGAAGATGTTCTCTACCGTAGTTTCTTTTAAAGCCATTACACCCTAAGCGTTCTATCACTTCTTATTCTCTTAGTATCTTCCTCACTACCTGTCTATCGCCTTCACTTTACTTTTTTGTCTCTAACTGTTCAGTAACTCTTCCCGAGGTTAATTCGTTAGCTTATTCGCTCTGTAAATAACAGTTTGTCAGAATACCACTGAAAAACATACGCGGATCGATTTCAACACTAAAATTTTTACATCGTGACTTCTTGTGTGTTCGTTCTTTGATCTGGAAGCTTTCTTATGAACGAAGGTGAATGGGAATTGGTATCATCATTCGTTTGCATAAGAACGCACTAATCGATTGTGCATGGAAGAAATAGCGAGGATCTTATTATAGTTTATTAGCAAGCCATTTTTATTGAAGAAGAAATAATGAAAAAAATGAGATTTGCAAGTAGCTTACATAGGTTAATGATGTTGTAAGCAATCTCCGAAAAGTTCGAGTAGGGTCACGTCACCATACACATGATTGAACAAGTAATTTTAAAAAGCTGAAAAGCCGCTAATGCACACGACCCAGGAGGCACATGCGACTAATTAACTGCTATTACAAAGCGGTTTTCTTTGTTATGGTTGAGTTTCTCTTTACTTCAGCACTGAATGCAAAGCCTCCATTGAAATTACGTACAACTTCCTACGTAGGGACAAATCTCAACAACTTTAAAGAATAAGGTAGTTGTCGAAAATTGCAAAATAAATGCACTATGTCACGAGGATCTATGGAGCCTACTGATTTCTCCCAAGCCCGACTTTTTATTAACCTCGGCATTGATTGAATAATTCTTTCTACTTCTGTTCAGCAAACACTAGGTGTTACTTAATTTCTTTATTTACTTACAAGCTGACGTTTCGGCGGATTTCGCCTTCTGCAGAGCCTGGGAAGGTCAAGTTGACTGCAATCTACATGGCCAAACACCTCGATAACCAAACAGAGAAAATGCAGAACCAAAATTTCAACCACATTGAACACAGTCTTTGGACAATCACCGCTTTCTATGAGTCTTCCACTAAATATGTTACGTGGAGACCAACCGCTCAGAGTTCACACGAATCGTACCGTGCCCATCTCATCAAGATAACAGGCTTATGTACTGCCCAATATCACGCGTGATAATGAGGCATTCTTCCATGCGATTCATTTTCGGTTTCTTGGAATTAATCCAGAATGCCTCTAGAGTTTTGTGCGCTTGTGTTCTCGATTTTTGCGCGAGGATCGTAACCCTTACCTCAAAATCTTCTCCGTTATGTTTCTGCGTGCTATGCGTACCTAGTGGAGTACTTGGCTTACGTTTGCCGACTAGGTGTTCTTTTATACGTATGCAGAGTGGTCTACCCGTTTCGCCAACGTATTCGTCTCCGCACGCTTTACAAGAGATCATATAGACTGTACCCGAACTCATGCAGTCACCGTTTCTACCATTGGGGCAAATTATGCAATTTCGCGTTGCACATAGACGGTCGTATAGGCGGTTACGAACTAGCTGGCGCCTTAGATTACTTGGTGGTATTTCGATTATCGTTACCGAATTCTCTAGACTGGCTCTTCTTAAACAGCGTTTTAAAGCTACTGATTTCTGTTTAATTGTATTAAAGTTTACTACCAAAAGAAGTATATGCTTTCTCCTAAATTAAAAGTGTGGATGTATTCTGCGATGGAGGAATAGAAATCAATTCATTTCGGCTACTTTCCAATTTTTTTATGGGTTTAAGTAAATTTACGTCAAAATATAAAAGGTGATTTATTTTTAGATTTGACTGAATAGCTAGCTATTTTAGAGGACAAATGACTTAGTTTTCGGTTTGTGAGAATCTTTGACATGAACTTGCTAAATCGCTTAAAGTGCAGTTGTAAACTGTGGTGACGAAGAAAAAAGCGGCTGAGCACCTGACATCGTTGCTCTATTCTTGCAGATAGAGTTATTCATGAGCTTTAACAATAATGAACGTTTGCAGTTCTCCTGCCAATTCCGATGTTTCTGCTGGATCTCGAACGCCCTCTAATCTCAAACTAACTGCAGGCATGTTCCGCATTCTTTGTTAAACACAAAAAGTCGAAATTGCTCTTCTCCTTTCCCTCATTCCCATCATTTCAGAGTTTTCAGTATTTTACAAAATTGTGTCTCCTTACTAGGTGCTACGCCATTCATTCATTAATCAACAAACAGAGCAATGCTTACTGTTATTTTTTTCTACAGCTACACTTCAGCCACAATTTTTATATTGAAGCACGCTATGAATTCTGTAAAAAGTATAAAAAAATATTCTCTGTTTCCTTTCCTGTGCTTTAGTTTACTAAGAAGACTTGTATGTCTCAGTAAAACTTGCTCTTGAGGGTAAGTTTCTTCTTTAAATTCTTAAGCTACAATGCTACTTTATTCTGCCTTTTGAAGGAGAATTTCTGCATTGCAATGAAGTTCCGCTCTATTGCAGGCAATTCCGACCAATGGTTTACTAAAAGAACAAATTTTAAGACGAGAAAGTTATTATCAGTTTTGAGACTCAGCATCGAGAAATATGCCGTCCTACGTATGAGTTGGATTCGTTGCGGTTCCGCTCTGTCCTCAAGGAGCAATCCACTGATTTGAGTAGTCATCATAAATACCCCGACGATAACGAGAATATCTACATTCACTTAGTTAAAAAATAATTGATTAGCTTCCAAGTCTTTTGAAACACTTTGTAAGAGCAAATCTTTCGTAGACTGGAAACAATAAATTAAATATTATAGCGAATCGAAGCCAAAAAAATGCAAACCATTAGTGATTAGGCTTTCCTTAAGCAGCAGTTAATCGCAATCTTAATATTACTTCATTCACTGACAGCAAAGACATTGCTGAAAGAGTGCCCACAACATAGATCAATACTACAACTTAAAGGTATAACAATTTAAAGGCGATGCAACTTAAAGGCTTTCCAAGTCCGAGTTTTCGACTAAGTGTAGCCCTCATCAACTCTATTTTTTTAACGATGATTCGTCAATGCTCACAAAAGCCAGTGTGACTGCTATGTGCAATGAAGCAATACTTCTAGAATATTCTCATGGCACCTCATCAACTACTAAGCCTAATTGTTAAGGCCGACTTAAAAAATAAACCAAAACAATCGGCATTGAACAAATGTCGCTGCCTAAATGGTTCGCATTTCAGAAACTGACTCTGCATCATATGAGGTAAGAACGAGGAAAAATGATTTTCTAGATATTATTCAAGAAGCAAATATGGACGGTGTACGTCATTTAAAAGCTAATGATCCATTGTCTAGGTAAGTTTAGAGTTAATATAAGAAAATTTTCTAACAACATGTCTGTCATGATTAGCAGTGCGAGCGACCACATACTGAAATGACCTGTTTAATCATAAAAATTCTAGTCGTTTCGATCGCCTTATGAAGGCTTTTTCCAGATATATATGGTGTTTTATTATAATCGTATTCGTAATTTTGGCACTGATTCAAATTTATTCTCAAATAAAGTTATTCCATTCGGCTCCCGTTGCCACTAATATCGATGCCCAATATGCATCAGCCATCACCTTTCCAACGATCGCTATTTGCAACAATAATCAATTCAGGTAGGTTTTTTTTACATTCACACATCATTTTCTCTTTTTGAAGTTGGAATTACATTTTCATACCGATATGGAACTCTGGTGTGCTTGATACTTTGACTCCCACGTAAGGGTACTTGCACTCATTTCTATTACGGTTATTTTTTCGTTCAGAGATCATTATTATTTGTTGTATATTCTGCATTCAACCGATATCTTATGTAATGTCGGCATGGTGTCGGACATCAGATCAGAAAAGCTATTTCGTTTAGTTAACAACCAAAAATCACTCTCTGCAATTCAATTGGGAACGCTCCAGCCCGGCTATCTCAGAACTCCAGAGAGAATTTCTCGACCAGCATTCGACGACATGCAAGATGACATACATAAAATCGTCAGGCAGCAACCGAAACCACATGAAAAAGTTGGGTGATCTTCGTGGACAATGGATGCGAGAAAGCGAATCGAATATGAGATGTGCTGGGATTCGTAAAGTAGGCGTAAAGACGGATAATATAAATAATATAATAAATAAATAAAAGAATAACAAAGAACTGTCGAAAACGAGAGACTGTTGCAGGTGAAGAGAGCTCTCACCACTCAACACGTACCACTCGATTCACTCAAAAGCCATATTTTCTTCACTTTAAAAATGATTTAAATAGGCCTAAACAAGAACTGGAATTTCAATCGGGGTTGCTGCACTTCAGAAGGGTGCAGAGGGAAATCTGTGATGCGGACACGTGGTTTCGAGACTTAGAAATATCTTTTCTTTACGATATGATTGTAATTCATTAAGGAGACTTGTACAGGTGTAACTGCCCTCTTATTAGAAAGATTATCTATATTTACTTTGTTATTTGAAACAACCCGTGGTATACATCTTCTATGCGGATTCTAGCACTTCTTGCATTCTATTCATTTTTTCGCATCTATCACACACGAAGGTCTCCCGACTTTTACGTTAGGAACTCCCAAGTCCGACTTTCTATTAACCTCGGCATTGATTGAATATATCTTTCTACTTTTGTTCAGTAAGAACGAGGTGCTATTTTACGTTAGGGCTCTGCTGTTATTTGAGGAATTACCTTTCGTCATGAGTATCGCTAATGCTGGTCGAGTTAGGCGTTTCTGCTTAGATTGTAAAGAGTGGCCTTTTCCCAGACAAGTCTGCTACCATTTTCCAGACCCAGGAGCGTGATAAAGTTGGTAAACCCGGAGCAGGTTGAACTATTGCTGTGCTCGTGATAATCGGCACCCTTCCACCACGCTGCGCTATGTTCTTTTCCAAAGTATTATACTCAAAACAATGTATTGATGGTGATTTATAAGGAAACGGCTGGCCTCTACACTGTTTACGCTGTTCTTTTAAAATTTTGACTTTATCATATAATAGTTTCCTGGTTCACATACTATGCTCCTCACTTTTGAAGTGCCAATTTTTAAAACTATCCATCCTTTTTTATTTTTAATTACTTTTGTGAGTTATCTTGTGATTTACTATTGCATACTGTCTGGGGTTGTTACATGTGGTGAAAATTAACTAAGGCTCTCGAACTTCAAACATGGGTAATTGAACCAATAATAATAGCGGCAGTAGATCAACATATGTGCAACCAGTACAACTTTTAATGCTATCGAACTGCCATCGCAACCAGCCTTAAGAAATTACTTCAGTACTGACAGTGATCACCAACGTGGATATTTGTGACCGCAGCAACGTCGTTATGGAAGACGTAGAGCTGGTCATCAGCAATTCGATGATTACATAATGCCTCAGCTGACAAGGACGGATGTGCGATACATATGAGAATGTGTGATACCATGCAATGATAATGAGCTTTCTTCATTCATGAGGTTGAGAGTAGCCTCTATAAGTCAGTGTTTTCACCTCGAACAACACAATCTCGATAGCAACAAGATAACAAGGCACAGTGGAGGCAATTTTGAAGGTTAAGTCGACAAGCTCGTGCAGGGATCTAAAACATCAAGATGAACCCTTGAGGCGTTCAAGCGTTATGAATAAATGTCAGAAATCCATAAATAAACAGCAAGGGAGATTGCCTTGTGATCACAGGTGACCTAGTGCTAAACCTCAAAACGATTTTCGACTTGATCCAGACACGTCGTTCACCATATTAGACGAGGTGTGGCTGATTTCCATCAAATAACTGGAAGACTTATCAATAACAAAACGGTAAGTGCTTAAAAGAAGGTGTTTACTACACAATTAAAACTCATGATGTGCTTAGTTTTTTCTTCCTCTACTTAACTCATGAAAGTGTTTGGCTGAGTATGCTGTACATATCAACTTAGCGTCTCCAGCCTCTGAAGAAAGCGGTACCGTCGAAGCGTCGGCCACTATTAAACAAATCTTGTTATTAACAGCCTCACGCCTGCTTCAAGCGAAACACTGACTTATTGAATAATTCCGAGACTAATAGAAAAACGATTCTAGGAACTGCTTCTAACTTTTTTATTCCAGTTCATATTGAAAGCCATTTCCTTACTACTATTTATTGATTCTTTTCTTCAAGGTATGGTCGACTATTTCGGACTCTTCTTGGTCGAAACTCGTGTTTTAAACATGAATTCAGTTGAATAAGTAGGAATAAACCCACCAGAACGCTGAGCGGCTCCCCAATATTTTTGCAGCTACAGCGTTTACTCCGGGAATTTTGAAAATCTAAGTCTTTCAGTTTTTTGAAAACGGAATCGTTTCTACAAGCCTACAAAATACTCGGCTTTTCATATACTCTTGTCTTCGTGAAATTACGACCAGTAATCGAAAAATCAGTGTGGAGCAATATATGTCAACGTCTAATTCGGTTGACATCGAAAATACTAAAATAGCATTAACTGATACGTAAATCGAGACGACAAAAGCAATTCTCCTCTGCTCTTCCTTGTCACTCAAGAAACATTGTGAGCACCAAACTTTTAGTAAGAGGCATCTTATTTTTATTAGTTTGTGGTGAGAAAGCAGCGGTGTTGCTTGATGAGACTTGATGAGACCAACTCTGTACGCCTACACTTCGCTCTGCTGAGGGATAATTATGTCAAACTTATTATCAGCTTTTGCAATTATTGTCGTTGAACAACATTAGAATTTAAAGAATGGGAAAGCGAAATATTTGTAAGAGATTAGTCGATAGAATAATGGGAATGTTAAAAAACCTTTTCTTGACGAGTTAATGCTGCACTGCGGAAAATAAATGTTCTCGATTAGGGAGATCTAATATACATCAAAACATCTGTGCAAGCTTACTAGTCAAAATTTCTACCAGAGTTTTCTATAAAGAACGAGTCCACAACTCTAATTTCTGCCGTCCCAGCAGAAACATAGTCGGTAGGCAGTAAACCCCCTCCAATCCAGAACGGTCGACCACTTCCTGCGGTGGCTAGCTGAAAATCCTTTTTCTTGGTTATCTTCAAGCTTCATAACAAAATCGTTTAAATCCTTTGATGTGTTGCTACCGAAGTATCACACAAATGTGAAGGAGGCGATTAAAGTGCTATGTCCAATGCTGTCATTACCGAGAGGAAACAACAGGTGCGAGACTTCACAATTTGATTGAAGTCACAAGTAGCATGATGCATTTTGATGGAAGAGCAAGGACATCAAGTTACAGCAGTTTAGTGAAGTTTTAAGAAAAAAGGGGTAGAGGTTCCAGTAGTTTATTAATCATACGTCCCAAATGGTAGTGATGCAAACATCGCTGCACGAAGAAGATCAGTTTCGTCACCAAGTCGAGTTATGTGACGTCTTCCTTGGCGGTCTCAAACCTCCTCACCACAAAAAGGTCGGTGCTATAAATCGTTCCTCAGTAATCTGCCCACAGAGAATGTTATGTGTTTACTCGAATGCAGAACGGGAATTTCTCACGAAAGTATATTGTCCATGATCTCATCGATAGATTACGAGAAGTTGCTAAAAATAAACACAGGTTTAAAAAATTGAGAGTATGAGGCACAGACAAAAACGCCTCGTAGGATTGCTGTTCACATCGTTCACTTCTTGCAACTTCTTAACAAGAAATGAAATTTCCACCAATGAAGGGTTCGATATGTTTTTAAACAAGAAGGACCCCAGACCAGGACTTTGACGCGTTCGTGCTGCCTAAGAAAGGTGACCGACCGATCTTTCACGACAAGTGTCTGATTTCTTTGTTGAATGCTCTCCACAACGATTTTTTGAAGAGTATCCTACAGCACATACCAGGAAGTTGAAATCCAACTCATTCAGCAGGCGGAATATCATCAACAGCTTTGTTCTTTGGACCACGTTCAAAACGTAGCTTATTTGACGGAAGTCTATAGGGACGACGACCAAATAACATTTGCTTGGCTTTGAACTAGGTGGGCTACAAAGTAGTCGTGATAGTCGACCAAAAACTGGATCGAGCTCAGACACGAGCTCTTAGCAACTGCTATCTCATCCATTGTTCATAGGCCTCTTCAACCCTTCAAGAAAAAGAGAGCCGTCTGGTAGGCACTATCTCGCCGGAACCTGCTCACTCATCACTGGTGCTGCGAAATCGTTAAAATTATCTGAAATAGATGCACACAAAGGTCGCAAATTTCTGCCAAAATTCCACTTTATAGACCATATCGATATCTTTTTAAAAAACAAAGCAACAAATCTGACTATGTTCAAAGAGCTCGCTCGGTGAGACGAGGAAGAAGCTGGTTTGTTAACAAATCTGACTATACATTTCAGAAAAAAATCCGCTTTTTGAAAAACAAGGTGAGACTGCTTTACATCGCAACCATATTGAAGATGTTAAACCTATAAAGACAGAGCTTATGTTTTCTATAAATATCGCATATTTGTGATTCGACAGAATGTACACCTGAAGGACGGCGTAGACAACTGTGATATATCGTTTGAAACGTTGACAACTGATGAATAAGGGGAAGTGATCACTAGATGCCGTCAAAACTGATCACGTAGAAGACGAGAGGTGGCTCACCTGTGGCTCATGTGAGCCAGCTGCATTCGTTGTTGTGTGCGTGTGGTAGATTACAAAATAATGTCCGGAGACGGCATAGTACATAGAATATACCGCCGCTGTAGAAGCTAAGGAATCAGAAGAGCGATATTTATGCCAAAGTACGAATAGTTAGTTTGAGTCGTGAAAGTATAGAGTTAAGCATAATGTCACTGCAAACAATGTCGCAATATGATTCCGTGTGAACTCGGTGCGATTGGTCTGCACGTGACATATTTAATGGAGGACTCATAGAAAATGGCTCTCAGGTAGGCTAAATATCGGCCGAAACGTCAGCTTGTACGTAAATGAAGAAATAAGACAACCCCTCGTGTTTGCTGAACAGAAGTAGAAGGAATTATTCAATTAGTGCCGAGGTTAATAGAAAATCGGACGTGGGAGTTACTGAAATAACTGATATTATTAGTTAGGGTATCTGAAAGGGGAATCAACCACCTATCTTATATTAAACGATGTGATTGTGAAATTAGATCCACCTGTGCGCGCATGGTCGCCGTTTTCGCGTACATCATCAGACAATACAAATTAAATGACTTAACTGTGTAGAGAGATTTTATGAGCATTATCTATATTATTCCGTTTAAGGTTAAGTTATATTACGGGTGCTAGGATACTTAATAGAAGAGCACGAGCTAATAAAGGATCAATAAAGTCGATTTCAGGAAAACCAAAAACCGTGTTCGAAGAGGTGCGAAGCTTTTTGAGGGCTCCATTTTCCATTATTTTCCTTGTTTTGTACACCTTGAGTGTATTTAGTACATTTTGTTTGATTGGTGAAAAAGTGCAACCTGATTTACTAAGAACTTAAAGAGCTTATCGACATAGGTACTGGAAAAAGCATGGGATATGGATGCAGTGCGTTTTCTTCGAAGCGCTGCTCACTGGAAATCAAGGATGATTCTGGGGTTTGTGATGTTCCAATCGACTAATGATCCACTGGAAAACGCCAGATCAAGAAAGAAATTATTACTTTTTGTACTAGGTGCACATGGCCAAACGGTACCAGTTGTCGTTTGAGCGATTTCAAACCCGTGTGGACCCTGTCCGGACTCTGTTGGGCCATCAACACAAATCCAGATGGTGCACTAGAAGTTGTTGGAAGCGGTAACTAGATTTTCTTCTAAATTTTATTAAATTTGACTGAATTATACTCTTTTCTTTTTCTTCTTTTCGTGACAACCAAAATGATTGTTTCAACAAAAAGTATTATGGCCTCAATTTCAAAACTTTTCTTCTAACATCCTGTGATTTCCGCACCTTCGTTTACAATCACATCTCTGAAGTCGTTAAAGTATTCCAAACATTATGTGGAAAACACCCACAATGACGCTGAGATATTTTTAAAACTCGGACCCCAGGTCAGATTCACACTCGCGATTCCACTATCTGGGCTCAGGTGTTGCACTCGCACCGCCGTAGCCTTTGCTTTGCCTTTCTCTCAGCCAGTTTTTTACCCTAGCGGTGTTATCTGCACATTGTTCCAAATATTATCTATCTATTTGGGTTTATACAATATGGGGAGCCTAAAAAATAGCTCTTCTTTTTCTCAGAACACAAAAAGCGAGAGGGGCTGGCGACCAGTATGTTTGCTATGTATGTTAGGCGGTGCTAAATGGATTATGGATTAGCGGGCCTTTAGTTATAATGTTATTACAAAATGGAAATATATCTTAGTTACTCCAACCATATGTTTATTTTATTATTCACAAAGGAATTTCGAGGTAGGACTCCTTTCATTAAAAAATACAACCGCAAATGTCTCGTAGTTTTTAGGAGTTGACCATGCTCTTCGTCTTTTATTGAATGTTGAGACGTATGAACGCATAGACGCGTGTACCAATCATTTTCGTACAAATTCTATTCCCGGACTTAAGGTTCTTATGTACAACCAGGTAAATTCCAATTATCTATATATAAAGTATGCGTTAGGATTTATGCGATATCAGTCCTCACTTTCCTAACACTTAGAGTCCAACGCCTAAATCCACATGACAACAACAAGATAATAATCAATTAGTAGTCTAAAACCATAGATGGTGACTGCTCACAACTTCATATAACTTTTCGCTAGTTAAACCACTTAAGGAATTAAGCACTCAGCAGCCACGCCGCGGTACTTACCCTCTTCGTTACGCGGAAAATCCAACCTACTAAGGCACTGGTTTGATCCCATCCCGATCCCACAGAGTCGGTCGTACTTCCGAGGTCGGGAAATTGATATCAGACCTGTCTGGGACCAACTCACTAGGTGCAACTTATATAGGCATGACTTAGCACGACTATCCCAGGAATTCAGAGAAAATCAATCCGAGCAGCACTCAGCCACATTTATGATGAAGTCGAAAATGTTTAAGTAAATTCCGAACCCATTTGGGAAGTGTTTGAAAAACTTCGTATGTGGTGGATGCGAAGAAACGAGTCGAATGGAAGAAGTGCTGAAACCTGCCTTGTAGATGTAAAGACGGGTCGCGTAGAATAAAATAGCTGAAGTACGATTTGTTCGTGGTTGTCTGGCTGAATTATTTCCGCGCAAATAAAGATAACCTTACTACCGATGTAGTGCAAGGGGCTACTCATTATCATTGTGGCTGCAAATTAAAGAAGGATAACTAATTTCAAAAGATGGTATCGGAATGAGCGGACGGCATACGATGTGTGCCAAAAAATTTAGAATGCGAGTAGTGTAAAAGATTACAAGGAAACACTTATTTAACATAACATTTTGGAAATCTGCAAAACGATGTAAGAATAACAGCTAGAAGACAGCTAGAAGTTATGTGGAAATACATTGATGAACAAATGGCTTTCTACGCTGGTGTGGCGCAATGCCCGGAGGCGCTCTGCGGCGCACACACAGGGTCGATCTCCGCGGCGGTGGTTCACCAAGCTCTCCATTCTTCCGGGGTCGGCGAATTTCTGCCAGATTTCTCTAGGAGGATATCAGCACTGGCTCCATTACATAGGTAGGCCACCGCAAGTCCATTGTAAAGGGCAGGTATGCATTCAATCACTTCCAAACGATGCTTAATGAAGTCGAATGTATGGCGCGTCCCACATGGATTGATCAACGCTGAGAGCTTTATCCATTTTTATGGTCTTCTACAAACAGTCGTTTTGGTGACATAGTGTACTCATCTGTTGAACTATTTACCCATAGGACACTTTTCAATGATTCACCATTTTATCCTACCGAAAGACTGTCCCTAAATGCTGAATTCTAGGCTCAAATACGGCACGAACACTTTATCCTCTTTCAGAGCAGCCGCCAAACAGTCTCTCACCTACGAAATAAACTCGTCTAAGAAAAAGATCTTGATGTGTTTATAAGTGTAGCGAAAATCTCCTTTCATATCCGATACCCAAAAAATGATCTGCTTTCAATGAGCCATCGATTGAGTTTCGAAAGTGCGACAAGAAAACATCTGTGTGACACAATAAGGAACAAGAAAAGAAAATAAATTGACTTCGACTCATGCTCACGCCGACTAGTATCCCTCAGCTCTCCCAATTCTAAGTGTTAACACATACACGACTAAACATAATTTTGTATGACATCTGCCTTTACTACATAAGCTGTTGATGGCATAGAAAAATGTATAAAACAAACTCTTTGCGACAAATGAAGTAGCCGGAAAGATTACGCATTGAGACAAAACCACACGGTCCATTCCTGCGCACCCATGTATGCACTTCTATCAGCATAGATGAATGACTTTAATGTTGTTTCTTTTCATTATGATGAGTGCCTTTACGATTTTTCGGTAATCGACTATCTTCCAACAGCAGCACAAAGCCGTATGCTACGATAATATGTAGTAGCTACGGAGGCTAGAAGAAAAATAAGCCCCACTACTCAAAACTGCGATAGACACCACTTTTAAAAAAGTGTTATTAATATTTTGAATTTTATGTGATTTCAGACTGACATTCCATTAAATAGTCACAATGGTGTGAACGTTCCTGCTGGATATTCTGTAGATATTCGGTTCAGAATGCAATATGTGAGTGCTCATACTAACAAAAGTGTTCCCGGATAGGAAGCAAAATTCCACTGTAAATCTCACCCCAGACCACGTTAGTCATTCCAAACGCTGAACATTTATAAATCACACTTGAGTTGTGCATATTTTATTTCAGGATTAACTTTGAACATTTTTTGACGTGAACTGGACAACAATATATTTAAAATGGAGGAAAAATAATTTGAGGCTTCTACCACATTTCATGTTTGGAACAGACCGCCATCACTCGTCCTCCAATATTTGAGTCTTTGCGCTTTCCTCTTTCCTGCTCTATTTTAAATGAGTCTGGAGTGATTTACAGATTCAGAAAAAAGACTTTGTTCTATCGCTTTGTTTTTCCACTTTCACTTCATTTCTCTTTCAGACGAATCCAAACTTTGAATGTTCAGCTTTTTGTTTATTATCTATTCTTATTTAATGGCAGGATATTATATGAAATACAACCACAAGGATGCTGAGATACGAGCACAGATAAGGACCTCAGCTAGGCTCCGAACACAAAAATACCCTTTCCGAAGGTCACGTTATCCACTGCACCATCAAAGCCCCTGCTTTGCCTTTTCCTGGGCCAGCTTTCCTTCTAACAGTGCCATAAGTCATAATCCGTCGACGAGAATAATTCGTAGAGCACAAATCGGCATTGATCGCAATTTTTCCGCCTTCTATAATTTTCATGGCAGGTTACTAAGCGAAATACAACCACAACGTTGCTGAGATATTTGCAAAACTCTGGACCACACCATGCGGGTCCTTCGTTTCGCATATCTCTCAGATCACGGTGGTGAACGCGTTACTCCCCGGAAAGGACAATAGCGCGTTCATTCCCCACCATAGACACCTGCGGTCCAGAGTTTTGCAAATATCTCAGCAACGTTGTGGTTGTCTGAAGTTAGTTCTAAAACTGCCAAAGTTCAAACTTTTTGCAAGTAGTAACGATGCTTATGTAAGACTTATGTAAGACTTTTACGCGCAGCATTAAATTAGCAGCTCATTGACGAAAATATCGTTCATGTGTGGTTCGTACTATACCATTTCGGCTTCGTTTTTCTTCTCATAGATTTGTTCCTCGACATTTTTTTTGCTAATTCAGTGGTACACACTCCGATGATGCTGTGACGCCACATTTCCGGAACCCACTCCGCTTCACGCATTAAGACATACATTGAATTAGTTAGTTGATGAAACAAGTTCAACTCTCCTCATTATAGACCGTTGACGAGATTTGAATGTGTCGTATGAAACACTCATAGGTCGAAGTCGTTTGATCCTTCCACTGATATCGTAAACATTTTGGATGGTGAAACTGTTTTCACTTGTGGTTTACCATTTAAAATTTATTGGAAGGCTCGCTGGGCCATGGGCGCGGGGTTGGAATCCACGTGTGTGTTGCAGGGCACCTCTAATCACTGCCCCAAACGTGCCTACATACAGATCACCTGCATCACCTGTAACCCCGTTGATCATCGAGTGACTCGAGCAGGCGCCAGTAAAACTTCCATTTCTCCCTGCTGCGTGCAAGAATAGCCCAATGAGTTCTGCTCGCTCTAGGAACTCGTCAAGTATCATATCTTTCTCCAAGGCTCTTTCTGAAGAACTCTGACCATCAGGTCGGTGGTCTTGCTGCAGCACGTTTGACATCGCGAGGAATCCAGTCACTAACGGCTTTTGTCCGTCGGTTGTCAGTCATACGCATTACGCGTCCGGCCCACTTTATCTTCGACTGTTTGGCGTACAGAACGGCATCTTTGATTTTTGATTGCTGACGCAGCTCGGAGCTTCGGGTCTCATTACTTACTTGCGTGAAACGGGATACTCCTAACATTTCGAAACCGACTTTCCCTGAACCTCGGTATCACTAATCAATATGTATTCTTTCTTTGATGAGCTTACACGAGGTTGATAATGATATTTATTTTCGGCTAACGTTTCGACGTCTTCGTGTTCCTCAGAGCCGATGATCCGAGTCGAACAAGTTGTTATCACCGGACATTATCATTATATCGACCATCAGCATCGTGTATAAAAGGGCATCACTGAGTAAGGATGCCTCATTCGAGGAGATGGACCGCTGAAGAAGACCTGACTCGACACGAAGGCGAAGCTGCCACGTCGAGGCGAATAACAAGCGAGGACCATCGACTCGGATCATCGGCTCTGAGGAAGACGAAGACGTCGAAACGTTAGCCGAAAATAAATATCATTATCAACCTCGTGTAAGCTCATCAAAGAAAGAATACTCCTAACATTGTTCATTCGACTGCGCGTTCGATAACGCTGGGTGATCTTTTATTCTACTTACGCAGCGACCAAGTTTCTGATGCGCACGGGCAGGAAGTACCGTTGAGTCGAAAATGTGGGCACGGAGTCGGGTGTTCTTTGTTCTCTTCACCACATCCTCTATGCTCTCCAAAGCTTCCCAGGGCGTTTGTTTTCTTCTACTCAGCTCTGAAGCTAGGTCATTCATCATATTGATTTTCCTATCTATATAGATATAACTGGAGCATTTGGAGATATCCGTTCCGTTGAGCCTGAATGGGGCATACGAAACCAATCCGTTCCTCATGAAGATCGTTTTTGTGAGATTTAGTCGAAGACCAATCATTCCACAGGGTATAATAAAGTCGGTAAGCATACGTTCCGCCTGGCTTATGCTTGGTGTTATAAGGACGACGTGATCGGCAAAGCGAAGATGGTGTAACTGCCGACCATCGATTTTCACTCCCATATTATCCCACTCCAATGTTCCCATGACGTTTTGGAGCGTGGCGGTATATAATTTTGGCGAGATGGTATCGCCTTGCCCAACCCCTCTTTTGACATCGATGTTAATATCGTTATAGAATGTTGATTGATATCTCGGTTGTGAAATTTTTGTACAGCTCACAAAGAATTTTTATGGGCTGAAAAGGGACTCCTTGACTATTAAGGGCTTCCATGACTACTTTTATCTCAATTGAATCAAAAGCCTTCTTCAAATCGATGAAAGTGAGACAGAGTGGCCTTTTGTACTCTCGCGGTACTTCAGTGATCCCTGTTATCGCGTGGATGTGGTCCATTATACTAAATCCTTTTCGAAACACTGCTTGCTCACATGGGCTGTCCTTCGTCTAGTGTTCTGTCAATCCTGTTTAGGATGACTAGATTGAAAAGTTTGTAGACAATAGACAGTAAGCAGATTGGGCGGTAGTTGCCGATATCGTGTAGGTCACCCTTCTTTAACAATAACACGGTCTCGCTGATGTTTCACTGAGTAGGGACCTTGCATTCAGACAGGTAACTTATGAAGAGCCAAGTCAGTGTGTTTGATGAACTAAGATTTTGTCCAGAAAGACACTATAGTGCTAAATAGTATTTATATTTACACGACGTTTTTTTAAAAGTTTGAAATCTGAATTTTGTTTGGAAAAACCTAAAATGTAAGTGAAACACTGGAAGATTTGTATGCGCGGCAGGGTAAAGTCTTTTACAAGTCTGCCGATCAACTGAATGCTTTAAATGCTTTAGTTGTCGTAGAATTTTGAAAAACGAGCCAATATTTCCATCGTCGTTTAAGCATATAGAAATCAAGCCATTGCCTTAGCATTTTCTCCGTTTAGTCATTGGAAGTGTTCCGCTGGGTAGATTGCGGCCAACTTGACTTTTCCAAACTCTGAGGAAGGCCAAATCCGTCGGAACGTCGGCGTGTGCGTAAATAAAGAAATAAGATAACACCTAGTGTTTGTCAAATAAGATTATGTAGATTATAGAAATCAGTTTAACAAACAATTAGTTACTAGTTTCAATCCAATCGCTATCATGAGTTATGCTAATTGTGTGGAATCCGCCATTTTTAAAAAATACGAAACCATACTTCATACGTGTTGCGATGCTGACTACCAGATGTTGAGAACACCGTGGTTGAAAAAACTACTTGTTAAGGGTTACAATTTAGCATTTATAGAGTTTTCAGTTAAACTGCACAGCGATTCAAGCCTGCTTTTTATTACAATCCTTCAAGTTCAAACTGCGGAATGTTTTAGCATAGGCGACTACCAGGAGATCACTGTATCACTGAGACAGAGGAGTACAGCGGCGAAGGTCGTCAGCAGTTCGATTCAGCATCCAACCTTCGAACCTGTAAACTACGAAGAACGTTGCGCGAGATCGAGTATGAATGTGAATGTTCTATGGCTCGGGCGTTCACTCAAGAACCTGTAGGTGAGTAGTTCATCAATGAAGGTGAACAGTTGCACACTCGCTTGATGTTTTTGTTTTTTTTTTGCTTTATATCTCAAAAAAAATTCTCTTAAATTTGCTATACGAAAGTATATTTCAGAGAAACATGAAGGATGTACTGTAGACGACTATTTTGGATGTGTGAAAGGCGTTATCGAGCGAGCAATGGCTCGAGGCTTAAGGAGAGTCTGTTTGCCTTCCTGCGAGTCTGTTGAATACATTGCTATGCAGGTAATTGCTGATTTGACATAAATTTTCCTTGGTCTCCTTAGAATCTCCATACTGTCACCACAAGAAGACGCCAGTCCTTATGAATCGCAAAAGGATTTTCTACCTTGAAATAATACTGCTACTAGACCACTATTGTCTCCTCGAATTTGTTTTTTCGTTGACTGGATACCAGATGTAAATTCCAAACTTGCTAATCTTCCGTGAGTATGTGAACAGATGAATTCCCAGATGACTATTACAAACCAGTACCTAGGTAGAACTTTCGCCATGAAGCGGTTACCAATATTTTCTTCGAAATAAGGGTTACCAAACCATGTGTCACCCTTCTAACAACATCGTCTCCTTAAAGGTTGTGGAGAACGCGAGGAGAGTATGAACAACTTCACGTACTTCCCAAAGCATAGTTTAATGATCCAATACCACATACCAGTGCACCATCCCAACAACTCACTGCGGTCGAGCGTATTTGATCTAATTTGTTGTGAAATTTAGGTTCTTTTTTTGATTTGGAGAAAAGAAGTTTTTCGTTTAGTATACCACCGTGTAATTGTCTTCTTCTTGTTGTCACGATTTATACATGCAAAATCTTTGTTTCCTCGTCAAATGGCAGTCTTAGTAGAGAACTGCCACGACCGACTTTCTATTAACCTCGGCATTGATCAAGTGATTTTGTTCGTATTTTTTTGAGCAAACGCGAACAAAGAACCTCGCGTTTGCTCAAAAAAATACGAACAAAATCACTTAGTAGAGAACGTTTTAGTAAGCAATTAATTTTTCGGCGGCATTAGTAATTCTACCAAGAAAAGTTTGATAACTCCTTAAAAAACTAGTGCAGAGCTGAAATCATGGTTCGTAACATTTGGACCTGGAAGATTGTTGTCTATTACCTATAATCTTCTTCGAGGACTTTTTTTAGAAACCGCAGTATAAAGATGACAGTCCTTAGAGTTGCACCTCGTTTTGGATAATTTTCTGGCTGAAAATTACTGGAATGACCCTGCATTCTTTGTTTTTCTGTCCGGTAGCAACACTTTAAGTTCTACTCACAGTTGCAACTGCTTTTGTTGGTTGCCCATCTTAATCAGCATGCGTGATGCAAAAGCATCCCGGAAATGACGGTTCTGCGCCAACTATAAAGCAGTCCAAATTTTTAACAAGTTGAACTAACGTGATCCCATATTTTCACCACTTTTTTTCTTCCTCCGGAAGAGACTCTATCTCGAACATGAAGGAAATTGTATAAAGACTGCAGCGCTTGAGAATGTCGAGAATTTCAACCTTGTTTTCGTTTTTTTAAGATACTTCAACTCTAAACATAGAAAATTGAAAACATATTCTATTTTAGCTATACAAACGCCTACATAAAAACCGAAGTTTTTTATTCTGAAGTACTCAAAGGCCCCAATGATAAGAAAGTAATATCAGTTGTAGAAAAACCAACTTCTGCATTTATGTGTAGAGCATAGTGGAAGTGGTTAAATGTATTTTTCTACTTTTTTATATGACCAGTCTTCACGTCTACTGTGCGGATTCCAGCACTTTCCTTATTCGATTCGTTTCCACTCATCCAGTGTCCATAAAGTTCTTCCAACTCTTACACGTGGCCTCCGTTGCTGTTGCAGGATTTCCGTTTCATCTTGAATGTCGTAGAATGTTGGTCGAACAATTCTTCCTGGAATCCTGAGATAGCCAGGCTGCTGCGTTCCTAAAGGATTGCAGAAAACAATTTTCGTTTTTCCAGATAAATTCGGCACCAATATCCTGACCTCGGAGGAATGAGAGGTTTGGTTAGCCCGAAACAGAATCGAACAAACACTATGCTCGTGATGATGGACATCACTACCATTGTGTTAACCGTTTCTGGTTGAGTGCATATTTGCCTTAAACAATGACATGAGAGAGTCTAGCAGTTTGACAATTTATTATTCTCATCGTCCCGAAAAAGTCTGGCATAATGGAAGGATGGCGAGCTCGGATAGGCCGTAGAGACGACTTGAGCTGATGACTGCGTATATATTCCGCCGCAACTCTAACAAATGTATTAAACGCGCACTTGCATACGAATATGCCTAAACATATATAATTCCTTAGTGCCTTTTTAAAATGGTTTAGCTCAACACCATTAGTGAGTTTTGTCTGATGTCTCGAAATATATCTGAACTGCATCACCCTAAGGGGTTACCGTAGTTTTCCGAAAGCACATCTAAGCCTAAGCGTACGCGAAGCAGGAAGGCAAATATTTGGCCACTTTCCCAACGAAAAGAGTGCATTATGTCAAAAGTGTAAAGTTCTCATTAGTTGCAAGCTAGTGATGATGTTGTAACCAGAATAGCAGTGATTCGTGGCACATTTGAACTAAATATTATTTAGAACTAAAGATTTAAATCTGCTGGATTTCGAATTCCTAAACTCGGCTGGCCATCGGAGAACACTACCATTCGCTGTATATTGAGAAGTTTGACATCGATGCATATATGCCTGAAAATATAAGTGTATTTGAATGCATAGTTGATATTGATGACTGCAGTACCTGTGCTAAAGAGTTTTCAATGTCTTCATTGCCTTAATGACATTTAAGTTCTTCTATTAAAAAGTTTAGATAAAGCGGTATTTTAGAATGGTTATCTATGCTCTTAGAGCGAAAGAGCAAATTCTGCTCTTCAAGATTTTCCCAAAATCCTCAATTGCTACTGACATTGCGAAAGCAATATTTCTAAAAATATACTAAAGGCTAGCTTTTACGATATCACTATTTGAACAATTTCTGTAAATGCCGCCCGAATTCTAGGATCTGAATCGTTTGCCGCAAAACTTAATGCCCGCTCTCATCGAAGGAAGCGAACAGGAAGATGAAGATGAGGTCGACCAGGATGAGATAGATGAAGATGTGAGGGAGTTTTTTTTTAAGAATCTCGTTACCACGATATTGATGGGCTCGATTTAAGGTTTTGCTGTAACTATTTCTTCCAAGTTTTATCAGTAGCTTTCGAATCTAGTGTCGCCTTAGTTTAGAATGACGAAGACTTTTGTCTTCGACTAAGTTCTTAAGTTTTTCCGTTTATCCTGCCTCCACAGAGCTGTAAAATTTTACATTTCTATTCAAAGTATTTATTGAAATGTTTCAAAAAAGTGCAAAAGTTTTACATGTCTTTTACAGCAATACCTAGAGCTGACTAATCGAACACATGAGAAATTCTTCCAGTGTGAAGAAAACGCCTATTTGGAATCATCACAGGTAACTGTTTTACAATCTCTCGTATGCTTAGGTGCTTAGATGTACAGTTTGTGCAAGTTGTAAAGGCTCGATGCATCCTCCACTCGTGTCTTTCAATTGCAACCATCGTCCATTGTGACAATCCACCTCCTGTGTGGCTACTTGCTCAAGGATAATCCATGATACTTGAATCGTCTTCATCTGCGAGTGCAGCTGATTGACGTGGGGCACAAATCTAATGCACGCACCTTTTATTCCATCAGTCATTTACTCTTTTTCTTACATAACTGCGGTATTGCAGCGGTAGCGATGTCGTTCAAAATCTACAAAATCCGTTATGTGCTGATTAACATAAGCCAGACCGGTGATAATGCTGTGCTATCACGAAAACAGAACAAAACGGATTGCAATAAGTCAACAACTGTCATGTATAAAAAGGCCTTGCCAAGCGAGGTTACTTCATCACGAAGACCCACATTACGAAGACGAACAACTGTAAACCATGGACTTGGACCATCGCTCGCGACTCCGAAAAGTGCGAAGACGCAGAAGCGTTAGCCGAATAAAACGTGTATAACAACCCCATGTTGGCTTAGTAACCTAGGAAGACAATGGGATGCTTCTTCCTATTCGATAAAGGTTAAGACAAGGAAAGATGGTGTTTCCGACAAATTTTCGTGACTTGTCAAGGTTTGGGTGTGGCTCAGAAAATAGAAATCCTGTTAAATCCTGTCGCTGAATTGATTGTGTCTCTTTCAAGGTTCTTTATGCGCGCAATAGTATAATCTTTACGAAGAGCTCCCAGGATCGACTTTCTCTTAACCTCGGCATTGGAATATGAATGTGTCGTTTTCTTGTTCAGCAATCGCGAGGTTTTTAAACAGCATACATTTACTTCCATAAAAAACACAATACAATACAACGCTAGCTGACTTTTCGGCAGTATCGCCTTCTGGGGCGATAGAAGGCGATACTGCCGAAACGTCAGCTAGCGTTGTATTGTATTGTGTTTTTTATGGAAGTAAATGTATGCTGTTTAAAAACCTCGCGATTGCTGAACAAGAAAACGACACATTTACGAAGAGCTTTTTGAGTTCACACCACAAGCAAATCAAGCGAAAGATATCAGGATTCGTTGAAACATTTTTCTTAGACAGAATGATCGTGAGATCTTTCACTGACCCGAAATGCTCTTGTTTCGATGGTAAGATCTCTTAAAAGACACTAGAAGAATATGTTTGCCCCCAGTTCGAAGGAAGTCGGTAGTGATTTTATCTGTTCCTGGACCTGTGCTTTATTTTATGCTTTCCTTTGTTACTCCAAATTCAAAAGGAAGGAATGCTACGTGGTTTTTACTTCTATGGGGTTTTTGGAACAGAACGATTGGTGCAGAACTCTTCCATTATCGATTCCACATTATGATAGGAGGTTAAAGTAATCCCATCTTCCTTCATTGTAGCTAACAGCGAAACGTTAATACACTGAGGTCCCCATAGCATTTTTTTCAAACTGCTTCTTTTTTGCGCTGCTTTGAATAGTTTATTATACCTGTACCGATGTAAGTTTCCATGTAAAGATTTTCTGCAGCTGACTTTATTATCGGCCGCAATAGGATGACGCAGAAGGACAAAGGCTGAATTTTTCTCTTTTCGAGGAAATTCTTCGTTGTAGAGGACATCCGGATTTCTTCATTCAGGATTTGAAACTCGTTCAACATAACTTTTATGCTTTCCCACCAGCAGCTCGGCATACCCGCATTTCTCGTACCAATAAGTGACTCTCTTGCCTAACGGAAACTTCCTATTCTTTGAAGAAATAAATTTCTATGGTAAAACTGTGCTGTCGACAACATTTCAGCGAGATGGTCTCAATTCTCAGTTCTTTCCTTTCTTTCGAGTTCTCCGATACTGCATTCATCTTATTTGCCCTTCCCTGTTTAGGTATTAAATCTAATCTATTACGGATTTAGAAAACTTTTTTTGCGAAGTATTTCCTCCTTATGTCTTTAAACTATCTAGTTCACTCTCATCAATTGTAGAAGTGATGAGTAATTGACAATACCGATTCTCTTCTGGTTCTAAGGTTTCATCTAATTGGAAACTAATTGTAGCTTTTCGAACTACAACTGGGTTACTATGGAACTTCATGACCAGGCAAGATGATGGGAACTCTTATGAGACGATATGATTGCTAGCAAATAGGATCACCAAACATACACCACCGATATTTCTTCACGGATTTTTTCTCGACGAATGGCAAGGTCCCGACATCTAACTGGTGCATGTCGATTTGTCTCTTTTTTCTCTTGTATGGCGATCACATCGAACTTGGTGTAACCAACGCTCTCAAAATATTCTTGAAGATCGGCATCTGAAGAAACTTTTCTGATGTTGTAGGTGAAGAGCAGAAAACAGTCTCCATAGCTTGTCGCTGGTTTGCTGGTATGATTGTGCTTAAACTACATGCCGTTCAAGCCGAGATTTTATCCGCTGTTATCGGGGATCTTATTATCCAATATCGTAAGCATCGTCTCTCACCGTACGGTGTACTGGAGCTGATTCAGTCCTGGTTAAATTATTTTTCGTTTCCGGGGCGTCCTCAGAAATGCCTAAATGGAGATTTTTCACGTCGTCACCATAGGCAACCGCCGGTCCTTAACGACCAAAAGGACCTACGCCATAACGTCATAAATAACGCCATAAATAAACACCTCACTGTATATTACGGTTCGGCAGTCAGTAACATGTCCAACCACAATGATGTGGTAGAACAATGGAGAGCTTTTCCAGCTACAACTGGGTGACTATGGAACTTCATTTTCTAATAGTATTTTCAGCTATTGCGGGAACGCCTTAGCTTGAACATCTCCAAGATTGCAAGGGTATTCGAATTGCTCAACATCTTACGACATTCCTAAAAAGGAAATCCTCAAGCAGCAGCCAAAACAATACGAAATATTTAAGGACCACTGTGGAAGGTGTAGAGGCACAAAGTACTGAGATTAGCACAGTAGATGTTACGATGGCTCATGTAAAATAAAATATAATACTTGGAAACACGGACTGGATTCCGCAATCAGCGAACAAACCAGTTCGATTTTTTCACACTTTGGATGCTTCGTGAATTGGGTCTTCGCCCTAATTATGCGCAGTCTAATCTTCCTGCTTCTTCGACTTCGTTGAGCATCACTTGTGCTTCGTTGATACTCCTTAATGGCGACGTCACCCACGAAACGAAGATTTGGTAGAAATTTCCCATTAACACATACTTCCTTTTCGTCCCAATCGAGCGGCTTCATTACCCACTGTAGTGCGGCAGTAAACCGTTTTAGCGATATTGTATGGCCTTTTGAATTCCTTTTCCAGTGGTTACGGTGAGAGTTATGATGAAAAAGCTGTGTGTTGCAGCAGTTCTGATAACACTCAGTTAGTGTTCCTATGTGGGACGCGACCACTCCTAAGTCAACGAGTACTGGAAGGATTGCATTTATTTCGAACTGTTAAAGGCTTTCTCGTAGTCGATAAAGGTTAAAACAATGAGCAGTACTCACAATAGACTTCTATGACCCACTATACTGTTTAGTCCATGCAGCGAAATCCCAGTCGGAATCATGCCCGCTCAACTAGTTGTGCCTCATCCAAAGTCTTTAATGTGCACAAAAGGACAGCTTATGTGAACAGCTTAGTGCGTATACCCGACAAGCACACTGGATGTTACTTACGAAGATTACTTCGGTCATCTTTCTTGAGTACGACGGCCGTGCGTGAGTTCATAAAGCTTTGTGATCATCTCTTTCTCGAGGTAAGATCTCATATGGATCCCGACATCTAGTTTGTGCCAACTAGACCTATGGAAAACGGAGGTGCTATTATGAGGTTCTGGTGCTGTGTCTCTCCTCATGCCTTATATCGCAATTCGAAATTCAGAGGGCAGAATCTAGGATGGTTTTTTACCAGCGAGAATACCGGAATCCAAAAAGCAGGTTGAGGAGCGTGATAGGTTGGTATAGAAATTCCTCGTTATTAATTCCACTTCATGGTGTATTGTGGTGATTGTCTTATCTTCGTACATCAGCGCGAATAGTGGAACATTATAGTCGCAAAGATCCCGAAAGAATATCGTCAGAATGGAGCGCTTTTAGGCTGCCCTGTTAAATGCTTTACAGTTCGACCAATCTTCAGTGTCCCTGTTCTTTCGATCAACCTTCTTCTAGTAATGGAGATGTGGTCCGCACTACTACAGTACTACGCACTACAGTACTACTACAGTCCTTAGGCAGGCAGCCTGTAGTCCTCGGTTAGGTTTGCCTTTATTTGATGGTCATATAAAAAAAGAATTTTATTAAGAATATTCTCGTCGTGTACGACTTGTGTTCGTTTTTCTTGGAAGATGACAGGAGTTTTTTTCCAGCTAATGGCTGGGTCGAATCTACGGACGGAGAAGACGTTGATCAGATCCAGTACAGAATCTCAGTACCAGTGAGGTGTCAAAGGGGCATCATTTTCTGTTTCTTAGAATATTATCGCACTCCACATAAATCGTACCGTTGGAAGACTCCCATGTCTGTCGGCGACTTACTCTGTTTTCGAAAAAAGAATTCCCATCACTTAGAATTACTGTGAACAGGACTTCTACAAAACAGCTTTAATTTTTCGTTTCCTTGTTTCAAATTTTTCCGTGCTGTATTCATTTTCGTTGGCCATTCCTGATCTGGCATTGAAGTCTTCAACAAAGATTAATGGAAAGAGTTGTATAAGTTGGTGCGTAGGAGTTGACCGTACTAACTATCTTTTGGCGAGAAAGTTTGGAGACCAAGAATGGCTAAGCGCGGTGATATGGTGAAATGCATACGTGGTGAATAGATTTAAAATAGATATATATACAGCAATGCGAACGCTTCCGACATTTCGTAATAGACATTCCCCTCCACGACTGAGAAGGGTTCTGCCATTTAACTAGCATATGACGGTCACAGCAGTATATAGATGCACGGCATGAAGCAGTTTCCATGGCATGTGGCCAATGCCGTTCGCTTGAGTCATCCTAGCTGAAGCCTTGCTAGGGTCACCACCACCCAGAACAGTCGCCGGTCGTTGTGGATCACCGGGAGATTTACCGCCTTGCCACTTGTTTGATACCAGAACGGTGGTGATTCATGATATTGGTTTACTCTTAGCTAAGCTACGAGTGGAAAAGCAATAAAATAAAAAATAAATAAATTTTCAACTGCATCCTATAAAATTGGTTTTTAATATACGTAATTGAGAAATTTTATTATTGGAATTATATGAAAAAATGTAGTACAGTAATGTACTGATTCTCATGAATACAGTAACTTTCGGTGTTTTCTTTTTAGAGCTTGTATTTTGTCTTCCATTGGTCTTACTCTTTGTGTTCTTTTAGTGTTCTTGATTAGATTGCTTTAGGTTTCGTATATAAAAAGAAATGCACATCGAGCTTTCGAAAAGCAAGCCCGGTATCAAGAGGATATTTTCTTGAGGACGAAGCGCCGCATTGCCAGACTTAGAGCGGCGGTTAACAAGTGGGTGATAATGTAGAGGAATTACTTATTATCTGACAGTCACCGTTTGGTACAGATCAAATCATCAAGATGTAAAATTATTGCCATAGTGTAAGATGATAATCAAGTGTGGCTTGACCGACTGCGCTGTGTCATGAGTTCACTGCTGCCTTGAAATAAAGGATAAAAGAATAAAGCTCTCAGCGTTGATCAATCCCTGAAAGATGTGCCATGCATTCGACTTTATTAAGCACCGTTGGAGGTGACTGAGTCAATATCTGGCCTATAAAAAAACTTGCGGTGGCCTACCAATGCACCGAGCTAGTGTTCCTATCCTGCTATACAAGTCTGGTAGCAATTTGCCCACTCATCAGAGATGAGAGGGTTGCGAGCCTGAGGCGTGAGATTGAACCCATGTACAGTATAGCACTAACCACTGCGCTACACGTACTCTTACCCTGACATACAGACAGAAATTTCGAATTCCATCTTTGAAGACCTTGCTGGAAAATAAACAAGCTTCTATAATTTGCAGTTTAAGGCTAGGGAGGACTTTATGCCTCGTTCCCTACGATGATACGACAAACCACAATGTGCTATAAGAATGTACCTATTTGGAGACTTGGACAACCCATCTTCACTGGTAGTACAGGCTTCAGCGCAATTCCAATTTATTTTTGTTTTACACAATTGTCTTCCATGGTGGTAGTCTTCTTCGAACATGGTGACATCCGCAAAACCCATTACGTATTCCTCGATTTCCATCAGTTACCAACTCCGCATGCAGATAGTTGACGTTACCTGAATTGCGGCACAAAAATACAGCTTTTCCATCTACCCTTTATCCTTACCGTTTACCTTACCACATGTCTAAGGAGGTAGAAATAATATGCACAAAATACAGCTTATGTGAGGCATATATGACTCACTTGATCAACAATGCGTTAAACGATGTGTGGCCAACGTGTTAATGTTCAAGGTGTAAGTATGGTGCTTAAGAAGCTATTTAAAACGGTAGAATCACATATTTCAATTTTTACAATAGTTGATAAGAGATCTAAACATTTTCTTTCTGATGTCTAGAATTTCAGTGTCTCTTTACTGGAATGGGGATGGCATGGAAACGATTTCACAGGTGTTTTTGCTCGACTTTCCAGTCAGGCGGAGTGCTTTTCAGATATAAGGTTTTGGTTTTTGGTGTAATTACTGAAATCTAAATTGAGTGATCTTTAAAAAGTTTGCGATTGTTGTCTATTCCTTCTTCGAATCCAACTCTTCGTTTTTTCAAGGAATTACCAGTTCGAAAAAAATTACTATGCTTTCTAGTCTATAGACTGGCATCAGAATCCGTCAGAAAGTGCGGAACGTTGATTTTTTTTTTCCATAGACTTACTACATAGAATTATACAGCAATGACAATATCTCCTTAATAGCGCATCTTCATTGGATTGACGAGCATCAACGACGTTCTTCTCGCTCTTTCAGTTGTTATCCATTTCCTTATTAAAGTTCTTGACCAAATGCAGAAAAAAGTCAACTTTGTTTGCTTTTAAAGGACAGTTGAATCACGAAACTTATGAGGTGGTTAACAACATTATTCCAACGTGACTCTCTACATCTATACTCCTATGTCGGGCATGGATGGTCATGTCATTTAATGCGCACAAAGGCCTGGTTCAATATTCTCAACGACTAACCAAGCTACTAGTGTAACAGCAACAGTATATACATGTATATCAATATTACTAGTTTAATTTTTATTTTTTCATTTTATGTGACCCACCTTCACGTCTACTGTACGGATCCCAACACTTCTCACATTCAATTCGTTTCCTCGCATTCATTATCCACAACATCCTCCAACTTTTACTTGTGGCTTCGGCTGCTGCTTCAGTATTTTTATTTCATATTGAATATTGTAGAATGATGGTCGAGTCAATTATTCCTGGAAACCTGAGATAGCCGGGTTGGGCTGCTTCCAGTTGGATTGCGGAGTGTGATTTTTTTCCAGACAAGTCCGGTACCAATTTCCCTACCGCGGAGACGTGAGAGGCTTGGTTGGCCCTGAGAATCGAACTAGTACCATGTTCGTGATGACGGACATCACTCCACAGTGCTCTCTACTCCCTTAGTGGCGTGATATTGACAGATATTGTTATCTGTCAATATTATTAATACCTATGTTAATTTGCTGCAACGGTAATAATACAATAATAATACACCTCCCAACGGTTTGCCGCCTCATCGTGGCTGGGAGGTGTTCCTGGGTGTCGAACTGCGATGTACAACGGAGTGATTCACCACCCCGGCAGGGTCTCCCAAGCTGAGAAGTCCAGCGTTTCCATCACGAAGTCTAGCTGAGAGTAAACCAATACCAGGATCCACCACCGTCTTGGTATCAAAGTCGCATGGTGGTAAATCTCCCTCTGATCCGGAAGGGCTGCGAGTGCCTGTCGTGGTGACGACCTTGGGCAGCTGTTTTCGGGATTCCAGGGAACCACAATGGCTTAACCAGCAAATCTCCGAAAAATGGTGATTATGCTGGGGCCCGAACAACTAGTGATGACGGACCGTTCAAGTATCAAGTAAATAATAATACAACGATGACAATACAGTGATCACAGTGACATTAATATGCAAAGCTAGCATAATAAGAAAACAGTTACGTTAACGTTGAAAGATCGATAGAACTAGGTGAGAGAAAAGCAAAGCGAAGGACCCGCTTGGTGTGGTAGTGAACGCGCTACTTCCCGGAAAGTACAATAGCGCCTTCGTTCCCCACCGCATACACCTGCGGTCAGGAGTTTTCCAAATATCTCAGCATCGTTGAAGTTACGTTAACATTTAACTGTTAAATGTATTTATGTAGTAGGATGAGGGTAGTAGATTTTTTATCTAGAGGTTAATTATTGGTCGATCTATTACCACTTCGTGAACGATGGATACAAGGAAAGGCGTTGTATGAAAAAAAGTCCTTGGAGCTGCATGATGTGTGAAATCGGATGACGCAAAATAAGTAAAGCTTGCGAAATGAGTATAAAACAGTACCGAAGGCTGCTACATTACTTTGAAAGCTTCTTAACAACTGCAGCAAAAGCTGCCATTGGTATGAATGAGTAAGGTAGAACTAGAAAGTAAATCGTAGAGTGGCGATGGACGCCTTTGATAGTGTAAGTTCGTGCACTGATTTTTTTATTAAAACTCCGTAATATTTACGGAATAACGACATATAACGGGCGCGTGCAGCTTAGCGGTTAGTGGCCCCTGTAGTACACATGGGATCGATCTTCTCACCCAGGCTCACTAAGCGTTCTATCCATCTGGGGTCGGAAAATTGGTACCAGACTTGTCTGGGAGCATAGCAGCACTGCCTCCATGCATTGGTGGGCGAGCGGGAATCATTCTAAACGCCACATATGCATCCAATGTTCTCTAGCGATGTTTAATCACCGGGAATGATCGGCGCATCCTTTAGGGGTTTATCGACGCCGAGAGATTCATCCTTCTATCTTTTTCACAATCTCATCTTTCTATCTTATACAACAGGGCATTCAACTCCATGCGCACTTAATAAGAACTCATCAAATTATTAACCATTGAAAATAAAAAATAGTTTTAACAAGCCTCTGGCAGTCAGACAAGGACAACACGTAGGAACAAAATAATTTCGACATTAATGCCGAGGTTAAGTAGAAGTCCATCTTTCGGTTGGTGATATATTTCAAATTATTAGTGCAAGATACTTAAATGGCTCATCTCCATGTATTCCTGACTACAGTGCAGTTTTCACTTTGTATCGATACTTTATTAATTGGGAAGATTGTGTTCTCTTTGATCCATGTAATAACCCAGCCAAACCCTTTCCAAATCGTCATGGCCATTTTACGGGATTGTGGCAAGACCGTCTAGTTGCAATAGCTTTTTTCTATTGCGGTTGTGAATCCAAACACACATTTACTTTTATACGAGCTTAATGATAAAAATATCACATTTTGAGCTAATTGCGAAGTAGTGGACATCCTATCCTACACTGCCCTACGAAACTAGAAGAATTTGTGCCACGATTCCAGTAAATCACTTACGGGTATCCATAATCACTTTCCTCCATTAGTGTTTAATGAGAATTTTTGAATTTCAGCAGTCAACACTTTGCGATTTCCGCGGGCCTGAAGAACCGACCAACCGTTAGCGAAGAGAGACGTGCAAGCCAAGTGTTCTACGTAGGATTTTAACCTAGTGATTCATTTTTATGAAAAAATGTCCTTTTTGTTTTAGCTGGTCGATCGAACAGCGCACAGATTGAATCCAAAGCAATACAAAACCGTAGCAGATATAAAACGAATTTATGGTGATCAGGTTGAAGTCGCTTTGCGGCAAATTTATGATGTCGTAGAAGTGGTAAGAGTGCTTACTCACTCCCTCCTATTTGTATTAAAAACTTTCAACTTTTCCTTTTGGAGGAATGCCTATTAAACGCTCAAATGTGTTTCAAGTATAATAGCTACTTGTAAGCAATGTTTTCCTGGAAGTACCTAATGCATCTTCATAGCCTTTCAAAATTTATTCAAATTCACTCTTTTTTCTTGATTTTAACACTCAGAATCCAAAGTGAGTGGATTCTAAGTAATACATGGGTGAACTGGTTCGGATAAAAAAAGGATAAAGCTCTCGGCATTGACCAACCCCTGAGTAATGCGCCATGCATTCGACTTCATTAAGCATCCTTGGAGGTGATTAAATGCATATCTGGCCTTTACAACGGCTCGCGGTGGCCTACCAACATATCGAGCCAGTGCCACCATCCTCCAAGAGAAGTCTGGTACCAATTTGCCGACTCCGGAGAGAGGACAGACTTGGCGGGTTATGGGCGCGGGGATCGATCCCATGTGTGTGTTGCAGGGAGCCTCCGACCACTGGTGTGAGTTGACAAAATCTCATTTTCTTTTTCTTTGCTGCTTTTATTTCTTTGTTACTTTCTTTTACAGAAGTTTTCTGTTATACGTTTTGCATTAAAACCACTACTTCTCTAATTAAAACCATTGTGTTGGATATCAGGTCTGAAAAGCAACTCTCCAGCTAAAAATTTACGTAAGCTGTCTTTGAGAAATCTTTATTTCGCTGGCGACGAATGTTGGTATTGGAGGGTTCATCAGTTTGTTTCCACATAGTGTATCGTTTCCAACTCTTTTCATAATGTTATGCGATGTTACAAACATCATACTCAAATAGATTAGTTATAAAATATACAGTTCTTACAAAGTACACTCTTTACATACCGCTCACAAACTTGTCAACCTAAGTCATCTCTGCGGAATCTAAGTAGCCAAAAAGTTAGGAGTCGTCGAAAACCAGCGTCATCCATTATGTGTTAACAATACTTGCTTACGTGAATACTTCGATGGCCAGTATTCACTGGTTGTGTGGGCCCCAGAGTAATTTCCACTTTTTCGGAATTTCGCTGGCCTAGTCATTGCGGTTTCTTGGAGTCCGAGGTCAGCCTAGTAAAATCCTACTCCAGGTACTCACCACCACAAGCAGTCGCCGCCTTGTGGATCAGAGGAAGATTTTCCACCCATGCGACTAGTTCGATACCACGAAGTGGTGCATCCAGGTATTGGTTTACTATTAGGCTCCCTGATGGAGGCGCCGAACTCCTTCTCAGCTTGGGAGACCCTGCTGGATGGTGAAGCCTCCCACTATAGATCGCAGCCGGACAGCCAGAAGCAACTCCCTCCTGGCCACGATGTAGCGGTAAGCCTTTGGGAGGTTGTGTAAACATTATTGTAACCTATATATTTATTTATATGTTTTCATAAACTGATCTTGTTGAGCTGATGCGAGGTTGGAGCAGTTGTTGTTGTTGTTGTTATTGTTGTTACTATTGTTGTTGTTGTTGCTGCTGTTCTGGTTGTTGTTGGTCGATGGCTGACGTTTCGGCTATTTGGTCTTCTTCACAGTCGTCCTGTTACAAGTGGAATTCCACTGGGAGTTTATAGAAACTCGGTCTTTTGAATAACGTAACCGTTTTTGAACAACTGGTTGGTAGTTATTTCACTTCTACTCACTATGTAGATCATAAACACATAGACACATAGAATAGGTGGGTATAAAAATTCTCTGCATATAACAGCAATATTGCTGAGATATTTGCAAAACTATGGACCACATGTGTCTATGGGGGGGAACGAACTCGCTACTGTCCTTTCCTGGGAGTAACGCGTTCACCACCATACCATGCGAGTCCTTCGTTTCGTCTGTCTCTCAGCTAGTTCTATCGATTAATGCCATCAGCAATCACCCGTCAACGAGATTGATCTAAGCACTGGGCCACACATGCTCCGGAATAAACTTATAGATAACGAGGATTGATTGATGACATTATGATATATAGCACAGTTTGAGTTTAACTAGGTACATACCGATTTGCGCCCCACAGAACAGTCTCGTTGACGGGTGATTGCTAATGGCGCCAATAGGTCAGTAACACGATTAAGAGACAGGCGAAACGAAAGACTCGCATGGTGTGGTGATGAACGCGTTAGCTCACCGAGGGGAGATAGCGCGTTCGTTCCCTACTATAGACACATGCGGTCCGGAGCTTTGCAGATATCTCAACAACATTGTGGTTGTATTTCGCTTAGTACCCTGCCGTGAAAACTGTAGTAGGCAAAAAATAAAAGGTAAAACGTTGTGATCTCTCCATATAGTTCACATACTTACCTAACCTACTTTCTTCCTTAGATAGCTGGACGGCTCGTTTTTCGGAGTTGTGCCAACCAAGTATAAATTCCATTCGTTTCTTTACTTTGCAGTAGTCGTCTTAATATGGTGGATTAATTCGAGCATGTTGGCGCGCGCGAATCTTTCATCGTGATCTCTAAAACAACTGCAGCTGCAAGTGCACTTGTTTGACTTTAGTTACGAACACGTGTGCCCAGCGTGTACGTGGTCATCCTAGGAGAGACCTGTTCCCTCGTTGAGTCCACTCTACAACTTTTTTTCGTCCATTTGTCGTTTGTATTTTTCAGTATATGACCGACACACCTGTGGTGCTTCGCTGTCGATGTGTGTCCGCCTGGGTCTCAAAGATGAGATAGATTTCGAAAATCAGAACATCGGATTCCGGGTAGATATTGTGTGTGCTATTTATATTTCAGAAAACATCATTCAAGTGCTTTGTAAGCGCCTAAGTAGTGCGCAGTACAATTGATGTGGCTGAAGTATCGGCCCACTTCTCTGCTGCATAACATCTCTGCTCACTGAGTTCAGGGACTGCTGAATCGAAAAGCTGGGAGCGGATTTGCGGATGGTTTAGTTGGTCGGCGGCTTTTTTGAGAAACCTGAATGCGACTACCTCCTTTGCCTAATTCCTCATTCATGTCGTTTTCTATGCTCACTGTACGATCAGAGTATACGCTCCAGGTGGTCACTGTAATCAGACAACCGTCTAATTTGATGTGTTCGCCTTCGCGACATGTGTTTTTCACGAATTACGTCATCATCCGACTTATGTGTAGTCCGATCTTTTTTTGCCGATTCGTTGAACTCATTGATCTGTTCTGTGTCTATGCTTCACTGGTAATTCTTGAGAGGGTGACGATTTTCTTATCTAAGCGGCGATTTGATAATAATTTTCTATCTATATCTGTGTCTTTCTCCTCCTAGTCGAGTGACTTCGTTATCCACTGCAACGGTGCTCTAAACAGCCTTAGCAATATGGTGTCATCTTATCTAACCACTTTTCCTATGGGAATGGTAAGAGGTCGATGGAAAAGCTGTATTTTCGTAGTGCAGTTCCCATAACAGTCAAACAGAGTTCTTATGTAGGACGGGGCCACTCACTGGTCGACGAGCGCTGGTAAGACCACATTCGTTTCGACATCATCAACCGCTTATTCATAGTCGTTATAAGTCGGGACGGCCATATGGTATAAGAAGTCAGTCAGACCACATGTAGTCCATATATGTTGTAAAATCGAAAATCAAATGCTGATAACGACCTAAATGTTTAAATGTAATTTAAGCGATTTAAATATATAAATGCGCACATTTTTACCCCGCACTGAAAATTTTGAAAAAGTTCCCAAAGCGTCCGATAAATATAGTAGAGTACATGGAAACATTTAGAGAGTAGCAAAAAGTATTAAAAAACCGAAGTTACTAACAAAACACAGACAAAGAACACAGCGATAAACCGTTGGGAAATAAAATGACACTAACTCATTGAGAGTAAGGGCGCGTGTGGCGCAATAGTTGGAGGCGCCATTGCGACACACAAGTGGAGTCGATTCCAGCGCCCATGGCCCACCAGACCATCCATCCCTCCGGGGTCGGCAAATTGATACCAGACTTGTCTGGGAGGATAGCAGCACTGGCTCGATACATCGGTAGGCCACCTCGAGTCATTGTAAAGCCCAGATATGCATTCAATTACCACCAACGATGCTTAATGAAGTCGAAAGCGTGGTGCATCCCTAAGGGATTGATCAACGCCGAGAGCTTTATCCTTTATCCTTTTATCATTGTGAGTACAGCGAATAATTATGTGTCACGTGACTGTGGAGCCAACGAGGATTTAGACGTTGGACTCTAAGAGTTAAAAAAAATTTTCTAGTGCTCTTCTCAACCGGAAGTGTGTGCCATTAACACATTCGCCGCCAAGTGAGCTCGGTAGGTAAGAGACATTGTGGCCGCTGTGTGGTTTAGAGATGTCGTTTTTTTCTCCTTATGGTTTATTTTGGTACACAAGGCTCTTTTCCTAAATCTGTTGTAATCCCGCGATAGTCTACCCAACATAGATGTTTTAGCAGACGTCTGCTATGAAAAGCCCTATTCTGCACTTACGAAGATACAAAAACCTTTTATTGAATGACTTCATTAATCGGTAATTTGACCTTGAATTGACTCCTCTTTCAAATCGGACCGCTAAAATGAGCTATAGTTGTCGTATCGACTCTACAATTTAAAGAAAAGCGCAGAAACAGACTCAGTACGAGCTGCATGACACCTCTAAACGCTGACAGTAATTCGATGTTTTCCTTCAATAAGCAGACACGAGGTTGTTATTATAGAATTTGTTAGGATACAATAGCTGACGTTTCGGCGGTTTCGCCTTCTTCAGAGTCTGGTAAGGTCAAATTGAGATGCGATTTGCTCAGCCAAACACTTTCATAACCTTAGTAGATGAAACTTAACAAATGAGTAGGAATCACTATCCTCCCACACGAATCGAAAACATCAGCGCGTAAAACTCTTGAAACGTTTTGGATCAATTCCAAAAATTCAAAAATGAATAGCCAGGAAGAGTGTCGTGCGACCTGGCGCCATACCTCAGGATAATCCAGTGACACAGACACAGTCCTCGCCCATGCATCACTCTGTGCAGCTGCTATCCACCAACTAACTGAAATACTTACAACGAATAAACGGTAGGTGTTTTACTCAATTCGACCTTTCCAGGCTCTGAAGAAGGCGAAACCGCCGAAACGTCAGCTATTGTATCCTAATAAATTCTATAATAACAACCTCGTGTCTGCTTATTGAAGAAAAACATCGAATCAATGCCGAGGTTAACAGAAAGTCGGTATTGGGAATTGCCGACAGTAATGATTTTATGGTGAACCTCAGTAACATGTACTAAATAATACCCTACATACCACTAATACCCACAGAACGATTGGGCAATATCTGCAATCTCTCTACAATTCTTTCATGTTCTTGACTCTTCAAGCTCAAGAATTATCGAAAAACTATGTCTGTCCACAGAAAATTTGATGTACGTTAACGGTGCGAATTAAGCATTGTCCCATAGAGCACGAATGAAGAATTTCGCTACTCTCCAGTGTGCTAACGTTGGGTTGACATTTTTCAATATTTTTTCAAGTACAGAATAAAGATTTTTATCAACATCCTATTACCCTGATAATCCGGGAATGTATCGATTATTAACGTCGAGGTTAACTGTCGGCCGATTTGAAAAATTTTAACTTGTGTTAACCTTTCTAGTTAGAATGAAGAACGCCGTTCGTACGTGATCTCACGGAGTTTTTCAAAATCTTTAGTTCGTAGCGATTTCAGGTGGACAAATTGTGGAGAATTTTTTCACCGTCCACGTTCATGACCGTACTTCGAGCAAATGTCAGTAGAATGGACAGAATTGTCGAGTTAATGACACAGGTATTTTCATATTAAGTATTTAAGTTTTTTCATGATTACATAACATTATACGACCCGTCATCACATCTACTGTGAGGATTTCAGCACTTCTTCCTTTCCATTCGTTTTCCTTGTATTCTCCGCCGCAATGGTCTTCGAACTTTCCTCGTTGTTTCAAGTGTTTTTGCGGATTTTGTCATCCTTACGAATTTCGCAGAACGTGGTCGACGCACTTCTGCTTAGATTCTTGAGGATAGCCGACTGAGGCGTTTCCACGTGGGTTGGAGGACAACGTTACTAGAGAGTCGAACCAGCACCTTTCTTCTTCATAGACTGAACCACTAAACCACTCCGCTACCGTGATACATGATTCCCTCGTCACTAATGCACTCGATCTACCTTCAGCAACGAATTCATTCGCTCTGGTGGCTACATTTTTCTCACTAGTTTAAACAGATTCCATTTCTTTATAGCTTTCGTTTACTAACGGTAGTGGAACTGAATAAGGTGTCTATCCTTCCATGTTGCACACCACCATAAGTTTCAGAATGAAGTGCACCATATTTCTTTAAATACTTTCCTCCCTGCATCCCACTTTTGCTAGTATTCGTAAATTGAAGGAACAGTAACTTTCTTAGCCATACTGAATACAAAATAGAGCGTCTTCATAAAAAGCACGTGATATCTTCTTGAAGTTTAGTCCTCACCGGTGACATAGAAATAGCTAAAGTCTTCATATTCTATCATTTTTTAAACCGACTAGTGCAACACATTTCTACAAATGCTTTTTTTATTTTTCTTTCCTCTTACGTTTTTTTCCTTAACATCTCCATGTAAGATGTGCAATACTTTTGTTAAAGCTAATTTTTTCCCAAGTGCCAGTAAATTCGTTCACTGTGGGATACAAAGAATCGTGTTTTGTGAAGCTTAATACACCATACGTTTTCTCATAGTAACTGAGGATTCGTTGATTATACCGGAATCCGACAAACACCCATCTCAGTTATTCAAACTGCGTCAAATGGTTTTCTCTAATCTGAATTTGTGCAGTCCTTTGCTTCTTGGTTAGAAACAAATTATATCTAATATAATCTCACATGAAAAAAGAGCAAATCATAAGCCGTCTCTCTTATTTCCAGTCCGGTTCTTTGACACCTGAATTTCGAGTAACATTTCAGTATGAGACTGGTAAGCTCCAACGCAGAGCTTGGGCAGAGAAGATGCAGTCAAGACAAATGCGACATTTCTTTGACGACGAGTTTACCGAGGTAAAATTTTATAAGAATTCATCTACCGGCCAATTTTTATAAATTTAGAGGGGCGTAATTCTAACGTAATTACTATTTCTCAATTTTTCTTTCTTGCTAAGGTCTTATTTATAGCATAGCCTACGCTTATACCTCTCAAGTACAACCATGTGACTATTACTCAGTCATGCCCGAACATAACGAAAGAACAAATGAATAAAGGTTTAAAGATAGGAATTAGGAAAATAAATAACAGACATGCTGAGTAAGGGTTTGCGCCTTCTCCAACAACTGAATTTTACCAGTTTTTGATGAAAAAACAAATCAACACTAACAGTCAGGCACCGATTTAGCCGTGTATTTCCTGCGTCTATTTCATCAACAAATTTCTGCCGAACTCACTACGAGTTGATACCAACTCATCACGGTGCAAGTGCCAGATGACAAGCGACCGCTCTCATTTGCTAGTATTTCTGCTCTATAATTCGATCTTTCCATGAATTTCGTCAGCAATCGCAGTGTTTTTTGTTATGGAATATCTTCTAAGTTTTCTTATAGGCTCTCCCGTGCTGATAACATTTTTCGAACTTTTCTATGTGATAGAAAAAAATCTCGTTCGCTGTATGACTGTGTTGTCGTGACCTTTTGGTAACCTATTTCACAACATATGTGTCCCATAAGTCGGGATTTCTTATGCGCACCCATTCCCATGCGATAATCATGATCCACAATAGGAATTAGATGAGAACCAAATAATCTTCGATAAATAAAGTATTTGAGAAAATCCAAAAAATTGAGGAAAGGGAATCCAAAATTCTCATAGAAGAGAATTTGAACGCCCCCAGAAGTGCAGTGGTACCAAAATAAAGATATTTTTTAAATTTTTGCGTAAACCGATATTTTGTGCGAATCCCAGCATTTCTTGCACTCGATTCCTTTCCTCCAATCCATAATCCAAACATTCTGAGTCTCCGAACATTATGAGTGCGACTTTGAGTGCTGCTTGTGGATTTTCGTTCCCTCTTTGGATGCCGTTGAATAGTGGCCAAATCAATTTCCTTAAATCCTGGAAAATGAATTTTATTAGGGCATCACAAATAAAAAGATAAGGAGGATAATATTATGATATACACTTTTGCCATGTCTGAGAAGAAATTCGTAAGAGTCGAAAGCGGAGCACTGTCTTACACCACCGATTAACACTCAGCTTTTCTATTTGTAAAAGTTTTGGTGAAGCCGAGCATACATCTGTGCTACAATTCATCTAAACAAGTCTACTGAGTAACTTACCGTCTTATCGTAACAAAAAGACACCACTAAGTCTCAAACATCAGTGTTCATGTACGACAGAGTCACATATATGGCTTAGTTCACGAAAACAGTTTCGCTGGTGATTGCTATCATCACCAACAATAACTTATCGTCCATGAAATAAACGGCTGCGATAAATAATGTTTGCAAAATATCAACTGTAAAGAAGAGCTTTTCTGATCTAAACGACCACAATAAATATGAACTCACACCTAATTATCTGACCATACTTGCTTAGATACTTGGGTGGCCCGTCTGCACTGGTTGTACGGGCTCCAGCATAATTTCCATTATTTCAGAGTTTTGCTGGTTTAGCTATTGTGGTTCTCTGGTGTTCTGAGGTGAGCCTAGCCGAAGTCTATCCTAAGCCGTCACCACCACAGGCATTTGCAGCATTAGTGGATCGCAGGGAGATTTGACATAGTAGTTGATACTAGTGCGACTAGTTTGATACCAGAACGACAGTGGATCCTGGTATTGGTTTACTCCCAGCTGAGCTTCCTGGTGAAAACGCAGGACTCCTTCGAAGGTTAAGAGGCCCTACCAGTGGAATAAATCCCTCCGCTGCACATCACACCCCGACACAGAAACTCTTCCCATCCGCGATAAGGCGGTAAATCGTTGCGAAATTAGCTGCTGTGTGAGTGGAAACTCACTCGTACCGGATGTTAGTGTTAATTTGAAGAGGTGTTTCTGTCACTAAACGAATTTTTTATCCATTAGCAGGCAAATCTAATTTTTCGCGCCAGACATGTAGGAATATATTTGTTCTTTAGTACCCTTCAATGTTATTTGCTGTTAAGTCCGATAACATTTATCTGCTCCACCTCGAACTACGTATCAGCCTTTAGGTAGTCGGTTTTATTTAACATGTCGAATATACTTTGACGTATTACGTACCTTTTATTTCTATCCTATAACATAGTTGAAAATTTGTAATGCTTGCAGAACTAAAGTATGTGGAAGCCACAATGAAAAGAATGCACTATATGTGTCTACTTAACAATATTTAAGAAATCCTAAGCTCCGCCGTTAGGCCAATATACGAAAAAGTGTGTAAAATGTGTTGAATAGCTTTGCATGGATTGCGGCTAGCGCAACATCATTGTTCGACAGATAGACTGTCCTTTAAATACAATTATTTTAACGTGAAAGATTTGCAGTAAAGAAATATTCGGAAAATAAATCCGTTGAAACTGGTGTATACGGTCAATTCCTTCTCTATGTAGGCATTTATCGGTGCATACGGTCGCAAAAAGGCTAGCTTTTCTTCGCTGTGACTCATGATGCTGGCTTAGCATTACTATTAGAGTGAAAGGATAAGTTGATGTAGCTCCATCCATTTTGTAGATCTCTAGGACAGTTTTCTGATGGCTTAGTTTAGACACTGTTTTTATGCTTTATGTTGCTTTAAAGTAAATCCTTTTGGTCTTGTAGCTCCAATAGTTGAGTGTGCCTAACAGAAAGAAGCTTTTAGGGTTGGTACCAGCCAATTCTTCAAGATCTCGAGTACTCGCTCTACAAAGTGATTATCGAAATGGAAAATGAGTATTGGCCAAGGTTCAAATATCACATGCAGAATGGCACCGCAACTAAGGTCTGAGAAATTTTTCGGTATAAATAATAGCTTAATTGATTAAGTTGGCTTTGAAATCCGGATGGTCACTGGAAATCCAATAGGATGGTGGGATCTTAGTACCTTTGGCTGTCTTTAGTAGTTAGACAGATGGCACTGCTACATTTATGTTGAAGAGAAAACGGTTTAAATAAAATAGTTCTTGCTTCAGTTAGATACCCAGATCCTTCGTTTTCATGTGCCTCTTTGTAGACAACGTAACTGGTTCAATGTTTACGTTCTCTGTGACTCTGAAGTAGCAACACCGGAATGTCCCCAGTTCACAGTTCCAAATGTTGTACTCACTGCATTTTTGTCTAGAACATAGCGATTATTTTATTAGAATCGAAATCAATAAGATAACTGGGAAAATGAATGACGAGCGATCACTCTCTGAGGGATGCGCCTTGCATTCAACTTCCTCGAGCATCAACAAGGGTGGTGGAATGCACATCTAGCTTATACGGTGCTTGCGGTGGCCTACTCATGTATCAAATCAGTTAGTGCTGCTATATTTTAAGACAAGGATGGTGGCAATTTTCCGATCCATCACGGATGTGAGGCTTGACGAAAATCGGGAATGGGTGCAGTCAACAACGGGTTTGCATCGGAGAGCACCTCTAAAGCACAACTGTAGCGTTCTTCCTCTTCCGAGAAAGAAATTTTGTGCGAGTGTTCTGGCATTATACGTGAAGAGTAAGACACATTCCTCATGGCGTTTCGTGCGTGTGTTCGTCTGGTCCGGTTCCAATGACGTCCTGCGTAATCCGAGATTTTGTCGCCTCTCGCTGGTCGTCTCACCGCCTGACGTCATACACGGGCGCACCCAATGCACGGGGTTCCGAGGCAGGCCTGTTGCTGCTTAAGCGGTTTGATCCTGGAGTGCTGACTTAACTTTGTAAGAGCGTATCCAGGTCTTCACCACGACTCGGTCTTCCTACTAGCTGACTCGGAAAAGATGTTAAAATCGAAAAAGAAACGAAAGTGCGAATGAAAAATTAACCGGCCGCTACTTACTTGCAATTTTGTATACCAGAATTTACCATCCTGAATAACTTATTGATCACTTTGTGAGTAAAATCCTTTGCGAGGTCTTATGTGAAGTTAGCGATAAAATCTGTCCACACTGTTCGTGCTCACATGATATGTTAGTTGTCGCCGACCAAACGCATGTTAAACGCCAATGGGGACTGCTATTCTCATTTTCGTCGGAAGTACTAGGCAATCGGTACTGTGGTTTTATTTGAAAGAACAAACTTTTGTGAAGGCTTCTCACAGTAGATGAGTTTTTCACGAATGTCACATGAATCTTCAGATCACTTCTCTACTGGTTTTTGACGAGATTTCGAGTGAAAAGGAAACTCTTTTGCGCCTCCTTATCAACAGCCTTTATAATTGTACCGTCGGTGATGTAAAAGAAGTGGCCATTGAGACATTGAGAGGTTTCAAGCGCTTGTATCGTGAATTACAGGTTTATATTTCTCTCCTTTATTTTTTTTGTCTTCATATATACGGTAACAAATAATATGGAGTTTTATGAAGAAATTTATACGAGCTGCATACTTTGTTTAACCATTGCCGGTATTACAATTTTAGCTCATTATTTACTGATTACTCTTCTTAACGCCAGGGTATATTGCGAGATATAACTCTAATGATGCTGAGATATTTGCAAAATTCCGGACAGCAGGTGTCTGCGGTGGGAAACGAACGCACTATTGCCCTTTCCGGGGAGTAACGCGTTCACCACCACACCGTGCGGGTCTTTCGTTTCGCCTGTCTCTCAGCTAGTTCTATCGATCACTTGCCATCAGCACTCACCCGTCAGTGGGATTGATCCGACGAGTCCAAATCGGCATTGAACCCAGTTAAGCTGAGGCTATAGTTATAATCAAAATTTTAACTTATTATTTAAGATTTATTATTAAGATAAGATATTAACGAAGGGCTCGCATGGTGTGGTGGTGAACGCGTTACTCCCCGGAAAGGACAATAGCGCGTTCGTTCCCCACCATAGACACCTGCAGTCCGGAGTTTTGCGAATATCTCAGCATCAATAGAGTTATATTGCCGTTATTACTTTTACTGTTACCGTTACTATCGCTGCTATCATTGTCATTATCATTCGCTCACTGCTATTATCCACTTTTGTTTTACAATCTCCGAGATCACATATTGTGAGGATTCTAACAGTTCCATTCAAACAGTTCACTCGCCTCCACTAAATTCCTCGGATTTTCGTGTGGACTACGATTACTGCTTGACGATTTTGGTTTCCTTCATAAATGCTTTTGAATGGCAGACGAGTTCACTTTGCTTGGATTCCTGGGAGGGCCGCACTACCGCGTTGTGTTTACCACAAAAAATCACCATTCTTTGTGGATCGAAAGGAGCTCCACTGAAAAGTCTGGTACTAATTTCCTTATTCTGAAGGATAAAGGTTTAGATAGCATGGCGTGGGGTTCAACTCTGACCTTACCCATATTACGAGGCGGCAACTCTGCCGCTGTGCTGCCTGCGCTCCGAATTCACTAATCCTGTTATTTACTGTGGTGATGCTCTGGCCCGGCTATCCTAGGACGCCTGGAAAAATCGACTCAGCTTCCTTTCAGCGACATTCATAAATAAGTCAACAATGCGAAGGCAGCAGCCTAACCTAAATGCGAAAAGTGCTAAGGCTTTCGCGCTACGGTTGCTAAGAGACGGCTCGAGTGAAAGAAGTGCTGGAATCAGCACAGTTGCTGTGAAAGATGGCTCTTGTAAAATAAAATAAATAGGGTTACTTATTGCTGTGAAGCTATTCTTTTAGTAGACTTTTTCACGATGAACTAAGTGTCTCTGAGAGCTTTTGTTCTAAGAATTAAGATACTGGGCCAAACATTTCCGTTTAAGAAACAGTCGTTTCAGTCATCGTACGCAAATCTCTTTAAGAAGGAGCTACCAGATTATTTGGAGAATTTCGAATTTGGAGATAAATTCGTGAGGTATTGGAGTTTTCTTAAGATTTGTATTGTTAAAGTTTACTATATAGTTAAAGGTCCTCCTAAAAAGACATTTCAGCGAAAATTTTGCTATGGTCAATGTGTTTTTACAACAAATGCACCTTGAACATTGGAGTCAAGCCAGAACGTACGGTTTCTGGAGTCTCGCTTGTAAGTTGTAGACCTTACCGCTATCAAGAATTTTTAATGTTTTTCGTTATCGTACATCTTTGTACTTCGTACTTCACCATCTTTTCTATTTCATTGTGCCCTTGCGAGTAAATTAACTTGACTGGGGTGGATCACTTTGTGGCAAAACTGTTCCCTCTAAGATTATTTAAGGCTTTACGAATAATTTTACTAAACAGAATTTTTCCCCTCCCCCCCCCCC